GGCCGCCGCTGCGGCCGCCGCGGGCGCGCGGCGGGTGCGCGCCGGCGCGCTGCGCGCGCTGGGCGCGCTGTGCACGCACGAGGAGGACGCGCGGGCGCAGGTGGTGTCCGCAAAGGCGACGCCGCACATCGTGGCGGCCCTGTCTGACCCCGACGAGGCGGCGCGCGCCGCGGCGGCGCAGTGCGTGCGGGGGCTCAGCCACAGCGCGCGCAGCCTGCGGGTGTGCATCGTGGACGCCGGCGTCGCGGCGCCGCTTGTGAAGCTGCTGGGGGACGGCAGCACAGAGGTCCAGGTGGGGCGCCGGCACGCGCAGCAAGGGTGGGCCAGTGCTTTCGCTGCCTCCCACCCTTTCGGCCTGGCACGCACACACACCGAGTCTTACCCTGGCCATCACTGCGGCCAGGGAGAGACGGGAACCTAGCCTTTCGGCACAGTGGCTCACGCCTGGTCCCCATAGTGCACCTCCGGCGTCTCCCTGACGTGACCACTCGGCCAGCAACACACGCAACGCCGGCACCGTCCCCCCCCCCCCCCGGCCGCAGGTCAGCGCGGCGGCCGCGATCTGCAACTTGGTCCTGGACTTCCGCAACATCCGCCAGGCCGTGCTGGCGGCAGGCGCGCTGAAGCTGCTGGTGCCGCTGGCGGGCTCCATGGTGCCGGAGCTGCGGGCGGGCGCGGTCACCGCGCTCAAGAACCTCACGATCAAGAGCGAGGACGCGGCCACGCGCGCGGTGCGCCGGCGGCGGCGGGCGCTCGCGCGCGGCCCCGGGTCCCTGTGGCTGACGGGCAAAGTTGTGGGCGGCGGGGGAACTTGGGCAGTGCAAAATGCAGCTCTGTGCCTTTGACAAAGGCACGATTTGCGCCCTACAAAGCTGGCGGGGCAGCTGTCTCCACTGTTGCCCCAGCATCAGCCCCGCCGCACCCGCCGCCCGCACTTCCCCCTCCCCCAACGCCTTGCAGGCGCTGCTGCGGGAGCTGCCGTGGGGCGCGATGCGCGCGCTGCTGGCTGACTGCGAGCCCAAGGTGGCGGCGGAGGCGGCGCTGCTGCTGCAGAACCTCTTTGCCGCCAGCAGCGAGGGCATCCAGGAGGTGCGCTGCCCCCCTCCCCCCAACCTCGCGGCCGCCGCTGGTGCCCACCGGCACGCCACTCTCTTGCCCCTCCTCCTGCTTTTGTGGCCCACAGCGCACTCCGCGGCGCAAGTGCTCGGCGCCCGCATGCCTATCACACTGAGCCAGCGCCACTCGTCGCCGCCCGTCCTGATTGTCCTCTGTGTAAGACAATCGACCCTCTGCGGATCTCTCACCTCTGATCCCTGACCCCTCCACTCCTGCGGCCCCCAGCTGTTCTCCTGGAGCGGCGGCGACATCCTGCCGCTGCTGGAGGAGCGACTGGACCCCACCGCTGCAGCCGCCAGCGCCGCCGGCCCCCGCGGCCTGGAGGCCACGGTCTACGCGGTGGCAAACCTGTGCTCGGGGGCAGAGGCGCACAAGGCGGCCGTCATGGCGTCAAACGTGCCGGCGCTGCTGCTGCACCACCTGCGCGCGCAGCCCCAGGAGGCGGCGGCGGCGGCGGCGGCGACGACTGCAGCCGTGGGCCCGCGCGGCGGGGCCGCTGCGGCGTGCGGGGGCGCGGCGGGCGGGCGGCGGAGCGGGAGCAGGAGCGGGAGTGGTGGCGGCGGCGGGGCGGCAGCGGGCGACGCTGCGGCGGTCCCCACGGCCGCGCAGCTACGGGTGAGTGAGCCTCAGGAGGTGCCGCCTCTCCCACCCTGCTTGCCGCGCTTCTCTCCTTCCAAGCTTCAAGTGCACGTGCATGTAATAAGCTGCCTTGTGCGTCGTGCATAGCATCACACGTGCAACGACGTTGCACCCTGGCGCCCTCCTCTCCTTCACTCCTCCCCCCTAACCCCCCCCCCACACACACACACACACTCGCACACACTCGCGCCATGCAGGTGCCCGCGGTGTGGGCCGTCATCAACCTGCTGTGGTTCGACTCCGCCGCCCACCCCGGCGCGCCGCCGCCCGAGGTCGCCGCGCGCGCCGCGCGGCTGCGCGACCTGGGGGTGGAGGCGGCGCTCAAGGCGCTGGCTGCTGACGAGGACCAGGACCTGCGGGAGCGCGTCCAGACGGCGCTGGAGCAGCTGGCGTGACGCGGCAGTGCGGCCTGTCACACGCTGCAGTGGAGCCGTGCCGCGCCCGCTGTTGCGACGACGGGGCGAGGGGAGCGCCTGTGTGGAGTGGGGCGAGGGTCGGGGTCTGTTTGCTTTATGTCTTTGCGGGGGGGTCGAGGCAGCCACGGCAGTGGCGGCGTGTTGCAGCAGAATGCATCATGCGTGGGGGTATGAGCGAGGGTGGCAGCTGTCCCCGCGCCGCGCATGTTTTGTTTGTGGCTGTCATTGGAATCCGTCGGGTACTGGGGTTGTCGCCGTTGGTGCCGCGAGTTTTCAAAGTAATTGTCCCAGCGCATGGCTTGCTGGCACGCCCTGGGTTTGCACGTCGGTGCCTGCGTCGTCGACGTCGCGCCGCGCCTCGCGGCGCGCAGCCGCTGCAGTTGCGGGCTGCCTCTGTCGAGCGCCCAGCATTTTTGATGGGACTGGCCACAGTTCTGTGGCCAGCAGCGACGGCAGGTAGCGAACGCAACCCCCACTCACTCACATCCGCAACAACAGCGGTGCCTGCCACCGTCTGGTGTGCTTCTGCAACAGGCGATTGCTCCGCACATGCTTTCATCCCTGTTTTATATCGCTCTTGTTAGATGGTTGGCCCCCAACGGCGCATTTTGCTGGTGGTCCAGTGTGTGGGGCTGATGTGGGTCTGTCTCTCGTGTAACCGCCTCCGCATCACTTTCATCATCATCCCGCCCTGCAAGCAGCTGGCCTAGTCCACGTGCGCCCGCGCGACGCCAACGCGGCTTCGTGTGGGGCTGGGTCGTGCGCCGCCTTGGACGCCAGGCATCACCCGCATTTGCATTGCCTGTCCAAAGGACGCGTCCAGCGACAAGTTTGTTGCGGCGCCGCCAATGACGACTCAGAGCGGCCGGCGCAGCCCACCGTACGTGCCTTGCATCATTAGGGTTCAGGGTTGACAAGAGGTGTGCTGGGTTGCTCAGTGCAGGTGCAGCGACAGGCGTGAGCCTCCTGAAGCCCCAGGCTGCGCCCCTTGCCAGGCGAAAAGCGGTGCACCCACTCCTGCCAAACCGCGCCGCCTCACAAGCGGTTACAGACTGAGATGCAAAGGGGTTCATAATCGCGTGAACGTCTTGCATGCATGCTTGCATACGTTGGATGGAATAGAGAGTGTTGGCTAGAGGGCGTTGCTTGGGCCCAACACAGTGCAGCGCCCCGCCTCCCGCTGCCGCCAACGGCCGTCCATCACCTCGCCTGCGCCGCCGCCGCCACGCGCCTCGCGCCGCCGCCGGCCTGTTGCTGCTGCTGCGGCGCCGCCCCCTGCAGCAGCAGGTTCACCACCAGCATCCCAAACGCCATTATGAAGATCCCGTTCTTCTGCGGGTACACGCGGCGGGAGAGTTGCAGCGGTGCGGTGTGGCGGTGAGAGTTGCGTCACAGCAAGCCAGGCAGGCGGGGGGGGGGAGGGTGGCAGCGGTGCGTGCGCACTGGAGCCCTTGATCCGTCGCGTCGTTCACTAACGCCGATGCTATGCGCGGAGGCTGCCGTGTCTGTTCAGTGCCGTCGGCGCGCCCGGCTGCCTCCAAGGGCCCACCTGCCACCAGGGCCTGTTGTCGACGGGCGGCGGGACCTTCTCGCCGTTTTTCCCGTCCTTGTCCGCACCCTCGCCCTGCTGCTGCTGCTGCTGCTGCTGCTGCTGCGCGGTGACGGGTGCGGCGCCTGCGGCAGCGGTTTTACGGGGGTCATGCGCGCATTCAGGGATGCACAGATCGGCGGCGACAGCGACCATCACGCGGCAGAGCGCGACCCTATCTCTCTCTTGCCCAGACTCAGCCGACTACATGAGGGCATGAGATCGGGGCGCAGCGCTCCCCAAGCAAGTCAGCAGCACCCCGCTCACCAGGCAGCGGCTGCTCGGGCGTCGCGGAGAATTTGGGCACCACCGGCGCCGCCACAGGCGCCTTGACTCTGACGCCCCGCCGCAGGCCGTCCCCCGCCGCGCCGTCTCGCCCGGCCTCGGCCAGCGCTGCAAGGGCGGCGTCCGCGCCGCAGCCGCCGGCGGGCCGCAGCAGCTGCACGCCGACGAGGCGGTCGCGGCTCGCGTCCAAGTGCAGCGCGAGCGCCTCGCCGCCATCAGCGCTGCCGCCCCGCTGCAGCAGCGCCTGCGCGGCGCACGCGGCGGGAGCCGAGGCGGATACGGGCGCCTCGCTCCCCGTGGCGGGCTGCACGGTGAAGCGGTAGCGGCCGCCGCGGCGCACGAGGGCGCCGAAAGTATCGAGCTGTGCGGCGGTCAGGGGTGCAAGATCCAGGACGCCCCCGTCCTGCAGGTGTGCACGGTGGTTGCGCAATGGCGGCGACACAGCACGGCTCAGGCGGTCCAGCGCGGGTGCAGCAGCTGCTGTGGCGCTATCCGGAAGTGTGTGCGTGAAAGCAAACCTCAAAGTCACTCCCTTTGATATATGCTCGTGATTACCCCAAGATCACCTTTGATCACCCGCACACGAATCGGACCTCACCAGGTCGATCGTCCCGGCCTTCGAAAAAGTAATGCCATCGAGGGCATGTAGCACCTGCAAGTCAGTCCCCGCCACCGCTGCAGCAAGCAGCAGCAGCACCGCCGCTGCGAGCAATGCTGCTGGCTGCATCATGTGATGTGTGTATGTGTCGCTGCAGGTAAACACATCGTTGGCACCAGGTCAGTTGCCAACGGACGTGGAGCACATCCCATTTACAGCCGCTCTGTGGTCCCCCGGCCCCCTCACCAGCTAGCCGCTGGACTTCTCCCGCCCCCTGGGCCTGCTGTGGGCCGGCGCGAGACGTTCTGATGCAAGCAGGCCTCGCTTGATGTGATGCAGCAGCCTTTCGCAGCAGCCGGTCCTGGTCACCAGGATCCTGTGTATGTTGGTTGGGACACTTGGCAACTGCAAGCAGAGTAATGTAGACCGGGCTCTGGCCACCCAGTGAGGTTTCAGGACAGGCACAAGCGTGAGGGCGGCTGCCCGCCCCCCTGCTGCTGCACCAATTTGAGGGACCCGGGGGCTCCCCACTGGGCGCAGAGGGGCCCTCAGGCCCCTTCACGCAGTCTCTGCAGGTGCTTGGTTTGCAGCACCCTTGTTCTGCATGCGACCCATGTTGCCCTGAGACCTATACCCCCTGTTGCATTTCGCCATGCACTCGGCCTTTCTAATCCCAGCCCCTGTGGTCGCCCCTCCCAGCACCAAGTGGCCAGCCACATTGTTTAGTCCCTGTCAATGGCACTATCAACTGCACCTGCTTCTCCATCCGCTTGTTTTTTCGGCAAGGTGGCTTTTGGCCAAGTCCTCGAATGAACACACCTCAAGGTCGTGGTCAGCTGTCACTCCGAAGTCACCGTGTCTCTGTTGTCGTCGCACTGGAGCCAGTGACACGTGTGCGGAAGGTGCGGCAAGCAGCAGAGAACTAGGGCATCAAATCCACGCCGGCGGTGCTCATAAAAGTATACCTCAACTACCTTGGAGTCGTAGTCGGCCTACACCGCCTCACCGGGGATCACGGAACAAGTGTGCGGCAAGCAGTGCTCACCTACCCTTTGCAGCGAACGCCTGTTGTGGGTCCAATCATCGACGCTCAGCGAGCCTCACGCCATTTCCCTTGACGGCGCCAGCCCAGGATGCAGTGTGTACGGAGATGGCTCGTGCGTTTGACGGTGGTACTGCTGCTTCTCAACATGCTAGGCGGCGTCATGTGTGCCAGGTGCGCAAGAGGACGGGAGTGTGCAGGTGTCAACTCCTCGCCCGGATGATCCCGGTCCAGCTTGGCGCGCGAGCAGTACAGTATTATACAGTTATCACACCACGCAGTTAATTCAGAGTTCAACAAGTTCCGGTGGAAGAGATGCGGGCAGGGATACCCCACATGCTTTGTGCACACTGCTACATGCCGCATCTGCTGTGTGGGCGTCTGCGGTGATGCGCTGCTGCAGGCACCACAGGGTGGTGACGTGCGGCTGCATGCATGCGATCTCAACAATTCATCATGATCACTGCCATGCACCGGCAGGCCCCACAACTTGCACATGGAAGCCTTTCGCGCATCAGCCTGGCGGTGTTTGACGCCCCACTCACTTTCTGCGAGCCAGTTGCCCACAGCCTAGCTTGTGTTCTTGCGTTGTTGACCTACGGATCATGCCCCTGCACGCCTCCACTTCAGCTGTCTTAACAATCTATGCGTGCAATTTGCGCTGACTGCACCGCTGTCCTCCCGTTGCTCCCACCCTCTTGGCACCACCCGCAGCCCTCAAGCGACCCCCAAGAAGAAGCTGGCGGTGGTGAGTGTCACCTGCGAGCCACGCATGGCCTTGCTGCGCACCTGAAGGCGCAAACCAGCTGTTTGCTTACTTTCGTCTGCCCCGCGGCCATGCATGCAGGCATGTGCCTTGCGGGCATCAAAAAGTGCCCGCCTGCCCCGCGTTGCTGGTTTGTGTGTGTGCTCGCGTAAAGCCAGCATCCTGCTGTGCAGGCATGATACACCTCTCGTTTGCAAACCCTCGTACAGTGTGCGCCCGTTAAGGCTTTGACCAGGTCTTGCACCTTTAAGGCTCGCTCGATCGCCCTCATGGACCAGCTGTGCGGCGAGCTGCTGGCACCTGCCAACGCGACAGTTGACAGCAAGGTGTGTGCTTGGGCGCTCACTCGCACGCACGCATGCAACAGACACGTGCCTGTGGGCTGGTATGGCACCAAACAGATGCGATGATACCGCAGTTACTTTTTTGGTTGTGTGTGGGTGAAGGAGGCTTCGGCTGTTCCACCACCACTGGTTAGTTCGACCATCAACGCACAGCAAAGTTGTTCTCATCATCACACTGGCTGCTCTGTCCTTTGCTCAACCGGCACACTCCCTCTCCCCCAGGACCCCACCAAGCTGCGCTATGGCTGCGGCGTGGCTACCGCTGCACAGGTCAACAGAGTGTCCAGTGACCTGGCAACTCTTGAGCCCAAGATCACCGCTGTTGCCGCCCAGGCCAGCTCTTTGCAGGCCACCTTCGTCCACGGAAGCAACCAGACAGCCACACTGCGCGCTCAGGTGGACGAGCTCAAAGCGGCGACGGCGGCGCTCACCGCCGCCGTGCAAAAGCTGCAAGCGAACGCGGCCAACGCTACTGTCCCGGGCACCATCACGCAAGAGCTTGCCGCCCTTGCCGCTACTGACACGCGCACCGCCCAGCAGCTGGCCCTGCTGGAGGCGGCAAACCAGACAGTGGCCCGGGACATCGCGGCGCTCAAGTCTGCGCCGCAGCAGTGCTTCTGCGGCGCGGAGCTCTCCGCCGTCAACACCACCCTGGCCACCATCAAGGCAGCCCAGGCGGCGGACGCAGCGGCGGTCTCCCTGGCCAACGCCACCGTGGAGTCCCTGAAGGCCACAGTCACCACAGGCGCGGCAGCCATCGCCTCGGTCAATATCAGCCTCACCGCCCTGGCAGCCAATGTGGCCAATGTGTCTGCCATCGACTTCAGCGTCTACGCGAAAACCGCTGACCTGGCCAACATCAACGCAGTCACGCTGGGGGGCGTGCCTGCATCTCAGTACCTTCGCTCACGGGTGGTGCTTTACAGCGAATCCTCCACTGGAAGGACGGGAAATCTTGGTGGCCGGTCTGGTGCCGACGCCTTGTGCAGCGCCTCCCTCAACCGGCCGACCGGGCTTGTGCAGGTGCACGCGTTCCTATCGGTGTCCGCCGGCGATCAAATTGCTGACTTCACCACAAAGTACGGTGTCCCCAGCGGCCTGGCAATCGAGTCGCCGACCGGCGCCGTCCTGGCCAGAAACTTCACAGGCCTGCTGGGAGGCAGCATCTTGCAGTCCTTGCGGGATGCCGGCGTGTTTTCGAGGGCTGTGTCGGTGTGGTCTGGCAGTGAAACAAACGGCGTCGCTGCAGCCGAAACGTGCAGCGGGTGGACCAGCGCCTCAACGTCGGGTTTCGGAAGAATTGGAGCGTCGGCCTTCGCTTTTCAAGTCTGGATAAACAATGCTCAGACCCCATGCGACAGCGCCTTTTTCTTGATGTGCATTGCTTACTGATCTGTCAAGCTTGATAGCAATGCCTTTACCAGGTCTCAGGAAGGCACTAAGGAGGAAGGGAGGCACGCGGCATTGCACTCAGTTACGCTGCCAGCAGGTGTGGCCTGCATCACCCTATACACGCGCGCATTTATCAGTTGGGCTTCATCCTGTTCCAAAGCGGCAGACCAAGACGTGCTGCGCCCACGTACTTTGTGACTGCTGTTGGACGGGCCCGATGTCAGGATCTGTTGATGCTGTTCACTGGACAATTTGGGCGATTAATAACTGCTGTCCCCCTTTCAGCAGAGCATAACAACATTACCTGAGCCTCAGTTATGTGATGCGTCAAGGCGTCGAGTAACGGTCTTTCGCCATGTTCTTTGACAGGCTCGTGCACATCGTCTGCGCTCCTCGTCCGCCTGGTAGCTTCTCGTATACACGCACGCCCGGCGCCCTGTGCGCGCCAGCAAGCGCCCGCTGCGCACGCACACAACATTGCACACCTGCCCAGGGGCGCGTTCTGTTGCGGTTCTTTCCACCTGGGATGGGGCCCACTGTGTGCATTACCAGTGAACCGTTGTCAGTCAGGCAGTGCTATGCACATGCATTGAAACAGCTGAGCAGCAAAGGCCAGTAAGCTGTTGTGGCGCAGCCGGAGTCCCCACTGCAGGGCGTGTTGACGGTGACAATGCAGCTGAGCCATATCTGGGCGGTCCAACTTGTCCGGTGGACCCAACTTGTCCGCCAGCGTGTGTGGCACACCAGCCGACAGCCCACCCACTAGACCTGCACGGTCACTCAGCGACGCCCGGAATTGCACTGCATGGACACTGGCACCCCACAATGTCAGCTGCAGGTCGTGTCTATACCAGCCCACCGCACCCACCCAAACCGCTTGTGACATCCCCAACAGGCGCGCTCGCCGCCCACCCCTGCACCACGTGCCGCCCCCCCCCAGCGCCCCATTACACCAGCCACACACCCGGAGTTACACCGTGTCAGTACCCAGCCCCCGACCGTGTCATCCAACAACTCCCTCGGCTGATACGCCCCCTTGGGTGACACTCAGTCCCTGTGCTGTGCTGTGCAGCCACGCAGGTCTGGATCGCACCCAGGGCTCAAGAGCATGCACTAGGCGGGACAGTCTGACTATCAACTTCCAAAGTCGCGTGTTGCCTCCGCAGACAGACAGGCCTGGCGGTCTCGTCCGCACTGCTGGCCACGAGCGGCTTTTCGCAGGGTTGCGATCGCCACCCCCCTTCATGCGCGTAGGCAGGGTGCAGGGTGGATACAGTTACATGCGGCGCCGGCGCGCCGGGGGATACACTCACGGTACATACATGCGCAACACACTGACACACACACCTTTGCCACGAGCCCGCGGCTGGCGCAGGCGCACGCCACGCAGGGCCAGCGCGGCGCCGCTGAGGGGGTTGCCAGGGGGCGGCGCGGCCGCAAGCCAGGCGGCCCGCCCGCGCCACCCCGCACCCCGCTCACTGCAGCACATCGCACCGAGCCCCAGCCGGGCGGCCCCGCGGCGGGCGCCCCCAGCCCAACACGCCCCAAACCCATTCACGGCTCCCAAGGGGTGTGGCGCAAAACCGCCCAGGCACACCAGACGGCGTGCAGAGCCCCGCTCCTCTGCGGAGCGAGCCGCAAGCCGCCGCCGCTGCCGCTGCCGCAGCATCAGACC